CCCGCGCGCGCGCGCGCGCGCGCGCTATGGACTCCTCCCTCTCTACGGACAAATTATATACTTTCCGAAGTACAGTAGCGCGTAACCATTCGGCCGGTAGCAACGGACGATAATTGTAATGAAAGTGCAGTCCAGCCTCGGAGCATTAGCGGCGCACCGTGCAAGCCGGCCGGCAAGCGCAAGCTTCTTTCCTTGCCTTGCTGCATTTCGGTGCGACGCGGCACGGTGCCGGGGAACCGGTTGCATTAAAAATGGAAATAACGCGACTGACGTCAGAGCGCGCGCGCGCAGCCAGGTCGAGCCATTGGAAAACTGGATCGCGCGCGCGCGCGCGATTACGCACAATGAAAAGGCGCACGTAGATCGGTCGATAGCGCGGGGCCGCGAGCGCGATATTAATTTTCACCGGCCGGGGCGCACAATGTGTGCACATACAACCACGACACCGCCGCCGGTTTTTGCCGAGCCTGCCGCTCGCGGCCGCGGGCTCCAACGCGCTCGAAAGTCCGCGTCCGCTGCGTGCGGCCGATTTTTCCTGACGGCGCGGACTACCAACGGTTCGCCAACGCGAACATTGCGACGCCGCATTGCCGGTCTTACTCGGCTGGGATATACCTGCGAAAAAATCCGACTCTTCGCCAACTGGAGGTGGCACGGGACTTTTGCGATGGCTCTGACAAACATTGCTTGCTCAGAGAGGAATAGTAATTTCAGAACAAGCGGAATCATTTTAAAATGTTTGAGGACTTTATTATTATATACGGATTCCTCAAGAGAATTCCTCTAAGATTAAGAGAACAATATTATAAACACATTATTCTTAAAGTTAGAGGGATTATATGTCATATCATGTGTAATGCAAATCTTATTGATTTTAATATAAATTTCCTCTTGTACGCAGATTAATAAATCCCTTTTTTAAGAGGATTATTATTTATTCTTACTGTACTTTATTCTTACCGGTTACACTGGTTAATTTGAGAAAATTATTATAATGTATGTAGCGAAAAGTAATATGTATATATAGGTGTACTTTTGGCTCCAGTTCTACGACAAGTAGAACTGGAGCCAATAGCTACAAGGATGTCCGTCATAACCAATTGTGTGAAACATAGTCAAAAGAACAAACATATTATCCTTCTTCTGTAAAAGGTATCTCACTCAGAATATGAGACTATGGGAAAAATTATTTTACAAATAGAATATTTCTTTCTCGGGTGCTACGTCTTCCCGATATCCATTATGCGTCCTTTGACCTGGTTCGCAGCTTGGTGTCGTTCTTCCACGAATTTGTTTTCGACGTTTCGTGAGCACATCGCGGCTCACGAAGCTTCAGAGACAAATCCTTGGACGCGGCACCGCAACACCGGGAAGCCGCGTTCAAGTTTCTCAAACGTTTCAGCAAATCGTGCGAAAGCCTAAAATATCAAACCCTTCATCGCTTTGACGCTAATAAGGACTTGAAGGCTAATTAAATTGTACGTCGATGCTGGCGACTCAGCAGTGAGACGGGTCGCGCAAAATCGGAGATTTTGCGTGTAAAATTGAGTAAGCTCGAGCCGATCGATCTCTCGGCGCTCTCCCCGTTAATCGTTATCTACAATCGCGTCGCTTACTCGCCGCCGGGCAGAATTCCAATCGTAAGAATCATCTAATCCCTCGACCCCGGTGCCAGCCGGTTATCGCGCTCGTACGATCGAGTCCATTCAGAGTGATTGCGTTTCCTCGCGGACACACACGGTGTCCCTTCACCTCCGATTTCCTAAGGGCATCGGCCGCGCCAGCACCTGTCTCTCTCTCTCTCTCTCTCTCTCTCTCTCTCTCTCTCTCTCTCTCTCTCGTTCTCGGCGCGGAAGGCTCGTTAAGAGCCGCCGAACAGAATGGACCACCGTCGCCGTGTCGATGATTGACACGCGCGATCGCACCGGACGCGTAGCCTATCAGTTGTGTCCGCGAGCACGAGACGCCGACGGGAGAGTTTCTTTTCGCTGGGTGTTTCCGCGCGTATCACGTCGAGAGAGGATAAAAGAGAGGAGGAAATATACGGAGAGAGAAAATGTTTAGTCGAGTGAAATAACTTTCTGGAGAGATACGAATGACTATGAAATTCCGGCTGCTCAAGCTGTCAGAATTCGATCCAAGGTATCGAGAGATCTCTGGCTAATTTAAACACAGAGTTCTGGCATTTCCAGACAGAATTTCTAAATTGTTGATTTCTTTTTTACCAAAAACGTGATTCATCCGACTAAATATTTTTCTCTCCGTACTATTCTCCTGCCTCAAGTGTTGGAAAAAATTGATATAAAATATAAAATACGAAAATATCATTTAATGTTTCTAAACATATGTATAATCATAAATATTAGAATGTCAGAAAGAGAGAGAAAGAGAGAGAGAGAGAGAGAGAGAGAGAGAGAGAGAGAGAGATGGAGCTTTTTTCGTCCGAGCGGCTTATTAGGCGACTTATTAGGCGATTTATTAGGCAGGCGCGACTCTCTGCGGTCTCCACCGCGGGGACAAAGCAAGACGAGAGAGAGAGAGAGAGAGAGAGAGAGAGAGAGAGAGAGAAAAAGCGCGAGGGGCACTCTTGCGACGAATCGCGGCCCGGCCGCGAGATTGACAGACGCGCGAGACGGTGCCGCGACTAATGACCGGCCACGGCTGTCTCTCTCTCTCTCTCTCTCTCTCTCTCTCTCTCTCTCTCTCTCTCTCTCTCTCTCTCTCTCTCTCTCTTTCTCTCTCTCTCTCCGCGAATCGCGTCGTCGCATCCCGCGACTCCAAGCGCATACGGAACAGCTCGTGCGCGCGCGTATGTAACAATGCGCGTCCGACGTGTGTGCGGCTGCGGCGCGAGGTGTCGGTGTGTGAATCCACACGAGGCCGGTCGCCACGGTGCCAACGTGCGTGGGCTGACAGGCTGACAAGCTGACAGCAAGCCGGGCTCCGACCACCCGACACCTCACTGTCAAGCGGACCAGGACTCTCTCGTAACTCCTCTGCTCTCGTCTCGTGTCTCCTGCTCTCTCTCTCTCCCTCTCTCTCTCTCTCTCTCTCTCTCTCTCTCTCTCTCTCTCTCTCTCTCTCTCCCTCCCTCTCTCCTCTCCTCTCTCTCTCTCTCTTTCTCGTAGTCGCTGTCTTTCTCCGGGTGTTTCTCTTTCTCTCTTTCCGTCTCGCGTCGACCGTCTCTCCCCCGCCTGCCCGGCGACTCTTTCTTCTTCAGCCGTCTTCCGCGTCCTCGGATAGATCGCTCCGTCTCGTTCCCTCCGAGCGGAGAGGACGACTTCACGGTTAAAAGGTCCTCCGTCTCGTGACTGACGCGATTAGACCCCCGCGCGCGCGCCGCGGAGCGGGATAAAAATACCATACTGTCGATTCCGTCTGTCCCACGCAGCGGGATTACTCGCCGGGGATATTGATAGTTCGTCACGGCGCGCTTTGTCTAATTGATAGGCGACTAATGAGATCGTGACATGTAACTGTTGGCTCGCTCGCGCGATAGGAAATAACATGATCGCGGCGGTAATTTTCGCTCGGCCGACCGGCCGACCGGCCGGCCGGTCAACAGGATAATAGTTCGTCCCGTCGGGGGCTATTAATGAGTTGTCTATTAATAGCCACTTACGAGTGATTAACGAGCGGTTACCGCGCGGCGCTTGTGCGTAACGGTTTGAGGGAACATTCGCGGATTGCGCAACGCGCAACGACGACGCGGCTCGCGTGTGGAGACAAGGAGCGGGCCGCCGCGCGAGTCGACGTGCTCTCGCGACGCGGAGCAATCGCGCGGCGTTTTGTTTCTACTTGTCGCAGCGTTTGCGTATCGCAGGCGGAGAAACGAAAGGACGAAGCTGCGCGCTCGGCCGGCGGCTGGCTGGCTTTGTCGTGGCGTCGGGAGTGTATCGGCCGGAGGTATGCGAGGACTATCCCGGTATTGCCGTGCGCAGCCGACTGGCTTTCGCAGCGTTTCGCAGCGGAGATAAGCCCTCGTGAGAGCGAAGGAGAGAGGCAGGGAGAGAGGGAGAGGCAAGGAGGGAGAGAGAGAGAGAGAGAGGAGCCGGGCTCCGCAATTATTAAGAACCGGTAGAATCCACGCTTGTTCCCCGACCGAACATCTTACAGGACTTAAGTACCTATTCGTTGTTGTCGTCCGCGAGTACGCCTCCCGCAGTAAGACGCGTTTTCGCGGCCGGCGATAAATTTCTGCGTTACGGCGGAAGGTTGCCGCGGAGGATCCTCTACTTCCTGGACCGCGAGGGGTGAGCGAGGGGTGAACGCCGCGCGAGTGTGCGAGTGCCGTTCGCTGGTCTCGCTGGCATGAGGAGGTGTGCGCGGGGGTGCGAGTTACGCGTTTCTCGTGTTACCGTTACAGGTTATACTTGCTGACGATGTTGCTTTTTTTTTTCTTCTTAACAACGGCGATCGTAACGCGATTGCATCTTTTGGGTAACGGTAATTAATTAACGCAATCCGTCTCTTCCGCGAGTTACTCTTTCAGCGCGCGGCTCCTCAAAGGTAACTCACATCCGCGAAGTGTGTGGAATCTAGGATTTCGACAAAACTTGGTGGCATATTTGTAGAGTAATAAGATATAAATAATTGCCAAAAATAAGAGATCCATATTTTTTTATCGGCAGTGGTTCAGATTTAAGGGATGAAAGTGCCCTCCCAAAATTTCATCTCCTCTATGCTATCTCGATAATTACTGCAGATAGAAAAGGTCTTTTTAAACAAAAATTGTACGGCATAAAAAATTGTATAATTTTTTTTTAAAACACTTTCTCCTATCTGCAATAATTATCGAGATAGCATAAAGGGGATGGAACTTTGAGGGGCAGTTTCACTCCTTAAACCTGAGCCACTGCCGACCAGAAAATATGGGTCTCTTATTTTATATTCTACAAATATACCAAGTATCGTATCGAAGTCGGAGACACACACTTCACGGATGTTCCTTGCCAGAGGTATTTGTTCGCACTATCAGTGATGACATTATGACAAAACAGATCAATTCTCGCACTTTGCTATAAACATAGTTTATGAGGAGTGCTCTTTAAGAGATAATCGACTGCGATTCGTCAATTCCCTCACGACTTTACGACTTCTGTTGTAGATCTCGCTTGATGAGACGCTTAATGGAGCAAACGTCCGGGAGGAGTCGGTGGTGCCTCCCCCTCCCCCTCCCCCTCCTCTTCCGTGGTGTTGACTTTGCGCGCGCGCCCCGGACGGCCACAGGTGCTCCAAGTGCTCATCGAGAGCGTATCGACTTGAGCGCAATCATGGCGGATATCATGACGGAGGGGATGGTCCCGAGACGACGATGATTCGGAGGTATGCTCGCAGGTTCCGCGTGCGATTCCGTCGGCGCGCATAAATTTCGCGCGACATAATGGCGCGGCCGGAGATTTATACGAGGCGATTCGTTAGCGGGCCGTACGTATAATTGGGAGCAATCGGACGTCTCATTAAGCATCGGCCGCAGCCGCGGTCGAGCGGAGACAATGCCGCCTCGTGAGCGACGGCAGCGCCGAGATAATCGACCGGATGGCTGAGGAGAAGCGGCCGCGCCGCGCGCGAGCTCCTCCTCTCGTCTCGACCTCCCCGTTTCCGCCCGCGGTTTCGCGGCGGCCGGCGTCTTGCAATTCATGACAACGTCGGGCCCGCAGATAACATCGTGATCGCCGGTCGTGTAACAATGCACCGTGAACGCCATGAAGCCGCGAGCCCACATTTAGCGTAACTCCGCCGACGAGACCGCCGGTGTTGGGTCGCGCGAGTGATTTCCAATCGGTACCCCCCAGCCTGCCGCGTCCCGGAGGTTGACCCCTTCGGCGCGGAGCTGCTGGTCACGTGGAACACGACCATCGACGGTTGTGAGTTTCCGGTTCGGAGATGTGAAAGAGAGAGAGAGAGAGAGAGAGAGAGAGCGAGAGATGACTGGTTCTTCTTTTTCATACGATCCATCCGAAAAAATTTTTCCCATAATACATATTACATATTACTTTTCGCTATACATTATAATAATTTTTTAAAATTATCTAGTATCAGTAAGAATAAAGCAGTAAGAATAAATAATAATCCTCTTAAAAAAAGACTAAATAATCCTTCTAACTTTAAGAATAATTTGTTTATAATATTTTTCTCTTAATCTTAGAGGAATCCTCTTGAGGCTGCTTGAGGTATATATAAGAATAAAATCCTCTAAAATTCCGCTTGTTTTGAAATTACGTTTTTTTTGGGTGGACCATTCTTCACTTCGACACATTTTTTCAGAATTACGAATTAATTTTTCTGCATCGCTGGAAAAGTATTTCAAGAGTCCTCGGGATGGTTAAAGTCCAGCTATGTTGAACCGAGTGGTAACGAATGTATTGTGAAGGAAATTGCGTTGCGTTGAGATAGCAAAATGCAGATTTCGCTTTATTGTCCGTTTTACATCTTTGGATGGGGAGAACCTTACCGCGCGAAGCGTTTTCACGCGCTGCGCCACTTAATGAAAGAACTACAAATACTGCGACCGAAAAGCGAGAAATTATGTTGACGTACAAGCATCGCTGATCACGTTAGAAAAGCCGCGCCAATCGTCGCGCGTGTCTCCCGGACATTGCCGTGTCGAAATTGACCCAGCAATTAAAAGCAACTTGTTACTGCCGAATGTCCGCGAATAAGTCCTTCTAATCGCGGAAAGCAACCACGCGAGACCCCGATCTGATCGACAACATCAAAATAAGAGACACAGCTATGTCTCTCCTGTGCGTGCGCTTTCCGAACTTATCGCGCTTGCTATCTTAACAGACGTAGCTTGACAGACCGACGGAGAGTTAATAACAAGATAAGTGAGCGCTGAGCGGCTGTCGACTGCAGTCGACGCTCGTGCCGAAAAGGTTGTTAAAAATATCGCTACACACACACAGAGAGAGAGAGAGAGAGAGAGAGAGAGAGAGAGAGAGAGAGAGAGAGGGAGAGGGAGAGAAAGAAAAATATAGCGTCGACGAGCGCCAAGCAGCGCGCGAAGGAACGGGATCGAACGGGACAACGGCGCGCGATAGCGATAACGCTAATAAATTGATACGGGCGACGGAACGGCCGACAGCAGCGCGGCCGTCTCGTCATCAAGCCGCTAAATATAACGACGTAAATCGCGACGCAGCGCTCGCGTGTCGCGTGTCACAATGGCCGGACACCGTCGCTCGTGTCTTTCATTTTCGGGAGACGTGGGCGCCCTCCGCGACGAGCTCTCTTCCTCCTCCTCCTCCCCCCTCCCCCCCCCCCGCCCTGGCTGCGATGCAGCACGTCGTCTGGCCGGTACGAGGCATTGTTCCCCGGACGCAGTACATCAATTCCGGCGCGGTCGCGAGCGCTTCACCCGCGCCGCGCCGGCCCACGCCGAGTGCTCTCGCGGCGTGGCCGAGCGTGCGAGCTGCGAATGTTTCTCGGGCTGTTATAGATACTTACGTAAAGAGGAAATGATGTATGCCCGTTCGATGGGTAATATAATGTGGGCGGCTAACGAGAAAGGGCTCTCTCTCTCTCTCTCTCTCTCTCTCGCGCGCGCGCGCGCGCGGCCCGTGCGGCCGGCAAGGGTGGATCCGTAAATCCGCGGCAAACCCTCGAGTAAATCAGCGCGAATAACGACGCCCGTCGTCGCCGCGAGGCGAGGCTCCTTCGCCTCTGTGCTTCCGCCACGGCCCGGACGGAGCCTCTCGGCCACAAGGTGGAGGAGAACGGGCGCGTCGGAGGGTCGACGGCGCGGCAGCGCCGTGTCGTCGGCGGGAAACGGAGGAAAGCCCGGCGACGAATGTCGCAGCTGGGCGCGCGCGCGCGATTCCAGTGTTTTATGCTCGCGCCTATGCATGCATAACGAACTCCGGGGTCGTAACTCTCTCTCTGGTTAGGCCGCCGCGTCCGCCGCGCTCGCCTCACGGCCGTAGGAAATAAGCCGGTTAACAATCGCGCGCGCGCGTTCCTGCGCGATTTCGTCCGGCGGACTCGCGAGCGGCATCGGGGGATGCTCGGGGGCGGCGGTCGCCGAGGACGTTACCCCCGCAGCCGACGAGCTACCGCGCGAGTACCGCGACGGCTCCGGTCGACCGTGTCGCGCGTTTAATCGCCGTTCGATCCAATTAGTCGAGCCGGTAAAACGCGCATTAGCGATTCTAAGCGTCGTATCTCGCGAGAAAAATAGAGAAAAGAGACAGACAGATAGATGGATAAATTGATAGGGGGAGAGAGAGAGAGAGAGAGAGGGGGGGGGGGAGGGGAGAGCGGCCATTAGCGCGGCAAACGTAAATAATAATTACACGTTGAAAAACAATCGCGGAACGGCGAGGAGAGAAGGATTCTATTTGCGGAGGTTACTGACAGAGCCCGCGCGCCGTCATTCTTCCTCCCCTTTTTCACTCTCGCCCCTCTCTGCCGCTCTTCGTCTCTGTCTCTCTTTCTGCAACCCGCCGGCGGGCCGGCCGGCCGGCCCGCCGGCAGGCAGCGCTACCTTCCCGGAGACTGCCGTGCGGAGCGCAGGCTCCCCGGGCACTAAATAAAGTAAAAGTTTAATGGCGCACATCCGTTGTTCCGATAGATATCTTAATGCGACCGGATTTTCAAGTCCCTTGAGATAAGTACGCGCCGATGAGGCCCGGCCGCGTAAGGGCCGTTAAACGACGGCGCGTCCCGCGTTTTTTGGCCGCCGCGAGGACGCGCCTCTAATGACCGCGCCATAACAATGTCGATCGGCGAAGAGGTTATTAGGCGGGATTCCGTGTCCCGGCCGAGATCCCGTCCGATAACGCTTCGATTCATTGTATTATTTCTCGCCGAAACGGCGGGCCGACATGCGCGCGCGCGGCAGTAAAAGTTTGCCGGACGCGGCGCGGCGCGGCGCGGCGCGGCCAATTAAAAGGACTGCGGAATGATCTTCGCTTTAACACCAGTCGCGCAAGGGTATCTCGATCGGCCGCCATGTTTCATCCGAATGGGGACACACACGCGCGTAAAGAGCGGCCCGACACGCCGCTCTCCTGAATTCTAATAATCGACCCGCGGCCCAGTCGTCCGCACGCGCATCCGCGCATTAATCGTCGGTTAAGGCTGCCTTCACACCAGCCGCCCGCGGACGACAGTCTGTCCTCGAACCTTGGCCACATTTCTTTTAAAATGCTCTCCGGAATGGCCGCTGAGACGACGACACGCTCGTTTGATGCGCTGATCGGATGCTTGTTGGCGAAACATTCGTCCCGCGTTTATCGGATCGCCTGTCGCGATTATTGTCTCCTCTTTTCTTGTTTCGCTTGATTGATAGGTCGGGGCTGTGAGATGTGTGGCGGTAGGGAAAATTTGGCTCTGCGGGATGCTTTGTTCGTGTGCTTGTCGTGAGAGAAACGGAATTTCGTGAAATGTTTTTTTTTTTTTTTTTTTTTCTATAGCACAGATGCTTCTGTCTGAACCTCGTTAGAATTAGGGAAAAATATATTGCATTTAAAAATAAATCTCCGGGCTAAAAATAAATCAAAAATTTGTGTTAACATTCTCCGTCGTGAAACACCGCGAAATGACGTGTTGTTAGGCGGAATAAAGTTTTCCGCGGCAGCGCGACGTCCGACGTTAATAAACGTAATTTTCATTCGTGAAACGACTAATATCGAAGAAATGAGCGGTTGGGGTGCGTCCGCAAATGAGGTTACATTAGCGCGAAGCGCCGCACGAGATCACGCAGGTAAACCCGCCATGGCAGATGAATGACACTTTAACGCAACGTCAAAAGTGACGGGCCAATGCGCTAAACCGAGAGAACCGTGTTGCATTTATTTAAAAAAAAAAAAAAAGAAAAAAACCAGAAAAAGACTAAAGTCACTTCTATTCTGGCAATCAACCTATGCCGGGCGTTTGAGTCTCGCTTATTAGAGGAAATTAGATTATAAACTCATGCGACTTGCAAAATCGTATCAAGCATGAAAACAAAGAGGGACTTTCGATCGCTACGATGAGTTGGGAGACGGGAGAGACGTGAATGCTCCACCGAGCAGGATCGAGAAACGGACAGAGTCCTGCTTGCGACGCGGCGCGTCGCGTCGCGTCGCGCAGACGTGGCTGGTGTGAACTCGGCCTTAATCCAGC